CATTGAGAAATATCCTCCAGGAAGAGTCGCATCCAGACAGTGTTATTCTGTTTTTGATCCCCTTTGTTTGCTCAGAGTGTATTTTTCTAAGTAACAGCAGGGAGTGTCTTAAGTATTGAAGTTCATTTCCACATATACAATGCAGTTATTTACATTGCCGTTTATAAAAGCTAGGCCTGAGTGACCACTAATCTGACACAATAAAAGCAAATCCATATGGAAGGAAATACTTAGAGAGGCAAACTCATCAGTGTTGCTTTTATAGAACAAAGAGTTTTTAAATCTATCATTATATATATTTCAAAAAAGGACTATAACGGCCAATAAAGATTTTATTTATATACCAAGCAGTTTTTTTTTGTTTTTTTCTCTGGCCAAGCAGAAGTATAACTTTTCAAATGCATTCTTTTAAAACAGGGTTAAACCAAGATGAGATGCAAAGTATTTGTAATGTAATTGTTCCTATTTAAATTGTATCCATACTTTTATTACAAGATGGTGGATATGAAACATGTCAGCCAGTAGTTAGGCGGAGCAACACTGTATGCCAACTACCAGATATGAACATTTCTGTTATTAGTTTGACATTTTCTGGTTGTCATCAAGGGTAAAGTGGTGTTTTTTTTTGTTTTCAATGAAGCTGTTATGACACTTGGGTGTTTAGTAACGGTCAATGACATGAAGGAATGTCCTTTTTTTGTGCTTACTTTTTAGATCACTTCCTTCTAAAACATGCTGGAAAAGTTCAAGCCTGGGTCAAATGGTATTAAAACTATTATTGGTTTATTTTGATTAATGATGAGATCAGTTTGACAAGAACGCAACAGAAGTCTTAACTTTTTGGCACTTTTCTTACATGTTCAATCATAAATGTGGTGCATTGACATTTCATCTATCACCCTTTTCATCTCGAGACAAAATGCATATTAGTAATTGTACTATTTGGCTCAGATTTGACCTTTTTGGGTTATGTTTTTTTTTGTTATCACTGGCTCCCTGGTCTTTATTGTAGGAGGGGATACTGTTATTTCCTCTGGCACTTGAAAAAGAGAAAGCCAGACGAGGTATGATTTTAATCTATGCAGGATTTTTACAACAACAAAAAAGGATCTGTTTCTTTGGAATAAATGAAATATTTTGGCTTGGGATTTTTTTCCACGGCTTCTTTCTTTTTCCCGCCTCAGTGAGAAACCTATTGAACTCAAGTGTCCAATGCCTTTAGCTTTTGCAATTTTGTCTACTGGTTTAGTATATATGTGTATATAGGTCTGTTTTATAACCAAACACCGATGGCTTGAGCCATTTTGTACTTAAAGCTGGAGGCCACTTTTCTCATAGGAATTACTCTGTGGGTTTTGCCAGCCCAGTAAATGTCTTCATACACTGGTACACTTTGTAAGTACAGGTCCGCGCCTTGTGTTCCCTACACTATCTTGTAGTCAAATGTACAACATTTAGCATTAGAGTAATTTTGTTAACAGTTTGCTACTCACACTTATTTATTTTTCTGCCCCTTTGCTTAATATTTTTTTCTATTTTGCCATTTTAAGGAGTACCATTTTATGAGATAAGATGATGTAAATGTATCGGGGTTGTTCATGATGAGATTTCCTTGTAAGTAGTAATTCATATTAATTCTAACTTGAAAGAATCCAGGGTAAGATGAGTTTTTTTGGACATTCGGTAGGAAGATGTTAACACGTGCATGTTTCTATTTAAATACAAATGTATAAATTGTAAATATAACATTTCTTTAAGGGTGAATTTCTACTACAGGTTGACATTTTTATTGAAAATTAAAAATGCTGTAAATACATCTTGTGAGATACTTTATGCACATTATTTTTCCTTCTGGGCTTTTTTTGTTCACTTCTTCTTCCAAGCTGTTACAGAGTACATCCGAGTCTCGTAACACTGTATATCACATTGATTTTTCACTCCTTTTTTCTTACCGCTCTTGTATTCTTTGTCTTCTGCTTCACTGTCTCCCAGTACCATGGTCGCTACAAAATCATTAATGTCTCTAAATCCAAGTGCGAATATTCTGTCTTCTCTGTATTTGATATGGAGGCGTGTTCTTTTCATGAAGTGTATATTGTTGATCTCATGGGATGGATGGATGGATGGTGTGTACAGTCTGTTGTTTAAAACCATGTCTGTTTCTTCCTCACGAGAGCAATGTATTTACTATGTGTCCCTTTTGAACAATTGGTCCAACATGTCTTTTGAAACAGAGGTATTTCTCTACAGGTCAAAACAGTTGTAGCAGTTTATACAGTATGTTGTATAACACCTTTTTTCTAAAAAGTCGTCTCTAAAGTGAGGCCAGCAGCATACACTATGTACATTAGTCTAAATTGGATTAGTTTTAAGAGAACTGATGATAGAGATACTATATATGATGGATGCAATATGATTAAAGGTACTCAATGAGTTTGATCTTCAAACTTAGGTTATGTAATTTAAAGCATTCTTGTGAAGTGAGTATTAATTGTGACTAATGAGAGTCTGTCCTGAATATTCTTTGTATTTTGCCGTATTGAGAATAAAATATATATGGATATGTTTAATGCAGTGTTACTCATTTTATTTAAGCAGCTGAAGGTTGATATTATCGAAAACATAACACTTTAGGCATTCATAAATGGTTTATTCTAGTACAAGATTATTCATTGCAACAGGTGATATTTTGATATATTTTAAGGTCAAACTGAAAGGGCAAGTTAGACATTGGATATTTTGAGATGATTTACAGAACAAAAAACTTAAAAATTCTCTGCTAACAAACATAAGCAATGATTACTCAGCTAAACATGCTGCTTATCCTCATGTGAGCCATAGGGCCACTAGAGGCCAAAACAAAATATAAAATATATATATAATTTTTAGTTTAGAAATCTGTTTTACATGGATACACTTATTGCAATGCATTGTATTTCATAAAGGAGTCTTTGGTTTTGTTTTACTTAACTTACAAAGTAACTACAGCAGGTGACTAAATGTTGTAAAATAAGAATTTAAATACTCCCCTCTGAGATATGGAAGTAGTTAGTCACATAGTGCTGATTGGAGTTTTCTCACCCACCTTTGTAGCAGTGTTTGAGCTGAAGCCCCCTTAACTGTAGTGTTCACATTATTTTATCTACTCCTGTAGTGACTTGGCTCTACACAGACACAACAGGCTCTCAACAGGTCCGGCCTGTGATTTACAGTAGTGCTTGAAGAATAAATTGCCACCAAGTGGTCATAAATTGCTACTGTCATTACTGTCGTCTGATCTATTTCAGCCTAAGTGTCATTGGATTTTAATTTCAGTCACTGGGACTTGTATTTGACCGTCTTAATTGTTATATTTTGAAAAGTTTCCTGGATTGCATATCTTAAAAATGGCTATCCTGTGCATTTAAAAAAAAAAAAAAAAGAGCACTTTCCAATAAACAAAGGCTTCCTTTAAAGTCTGACTATACAGTACATTACAGTTTACAGAGGATAAACAGTCATTGCCAACTGAAGAAAACGTATGGTCATTTAAAAGTAACCTGGATCCTAGTTATCTATATATTTGTTGACACTAAAAACAATGCTTCGCCCCAAATTATTGTATTATAATAGTTATGATTTGAAAAATAATGATGTAAATACTTTGGTATATTTGATGCTATGTGACTATTTAATGTAGGCCTATACGCTTTGTAATTGGAACATAATTTGACCTTGCACTAAAATAAAATATATCAAATATATTTAAACTGTGTAAAATAAATAATGCCTGCTGATTAAAAGAATATTACTTCTAACCACCTGTGTCATCCAAACATTTTAGCTTCGTTTGTTTGCCTGTTTCAATAAGCAATGGATGTTGCTTAGTAAATATTTGTGCATGAATGAAACAAAGGTATTCAAAGAAGTTTATATAGCTTTGCATTGCAGAGCCTCTTAGAAATGATTAGCTCCTTCCAATCCACATTGCGCTGCCCTGAGAACATTAACTCTTATGTAGACTCTTTGTTGTGTCCACTTTGTCCACTTTTTATTTTGGGTTATTCTAGTCAGTTTTACTTATATTATTTGTAAATATTATAATGTTCGTTTACTCCTATTAAATGTATCTTTCAGTGAGTTCAGTAAAACAGTTAAACTGGCACTGTTCAGTTTTGGCTTCTGCCTTTTTCTAGTGAACTGAAGAACATCAAAACAATACAGAGAAATCCCCCTTTTCACTATTCCGCCATTAACACGGATGGACCAATGGGGTGTCGTGTATTCCCAAAGGAACCGCCTCCCGCCTCATCTGATTGGTCGACGTTATCCTCTGTTACCTTTCATCCGATTCTCTCCCTCTCTGCAGGGAATAAGGTAAGCTAACTGCGAGCGAAGGAAAAAGGAAAGCTCATTACCCAGGCGACGAAGCACGTTACTACAAGAAAATGAAATTAATCCGTTAATTTATGTGTTTTTTCTCACCGTTATCCACCCGAGAAGTGAAAACACACCCGAAAAGAAACAAGGAGTACAAGTTGAAAACAGCCAAGTGTTTGGAAATAAGCAGGTACGTAAAGGGGACTTTGGTAGCAGCAGGTGCATCTAGTATCGCCGTGGCTGTTCAGTTTCGGTTGTCAACTGTCAACCTGTTGCTTACTACTTCTACTAAATATAGCTTTATGAAAATATGTTGTTTTCAGCATCTCTTTGTATCTGTAGTTTTAAAGTTGTGATGCTTCTCGGTTTAAAAAAAACCCGTCCTTTTGACTGAGCGATGCATGAGCAAACGAATGCTGCTGTCACTGGTTTTTGGAAATCAGAAATGATTTAATAATCCCACTGGGAAATTGGGTTTCAACATAGAATTTATATTGAATTGTATTTCCAACTTCTGCCTAAGTAGACCTGTATGAACGTTTTGTAATTTTGTATGTCTTTGTTTTCGTGTTTAGTGCAGTTTGGCTGCCTCATTGTATTTATATGCGTTTCCCTATACACGTTCACATTACTAATAGTTTACAATGGATCCAATTTTAAATGAATCCTATCAAAACTTATATTTAAATGTTCCAGTGATAGAAGCAATTTAACTTCACCTTGTTCTCTGAGAAAACAATTACCATATTGATTGATGTTACACATGACTTGTTGTAGTTGCAGCCCTGAAATGGATACATAATGTGGACTACTAGACACACAGCAACCCAAACCACTGTTGTCACCACATTTAATTGCCATTTTCATATTTTCCATGTTGCACATTACCCATGCAATGCCTGTTGTTTGACCATAGTGTGAGAACAACACAGTATTGTTTTTTCCTAACCGTATCTCCTTGTCTTAAATTGATACCTGGCCCTGAATTATGCACAGGAGAGCCTTTCTACCTAATGACTGGCCTATGTTTTATTTAAAGTGGGGACAAAAGGCGCCCGTGGCTGTGGCGGTGTTGCTTCGGGGGAAACCAGACACTGGTGTTTTGTGCTGTGGTTGAAACTGAAGCACTCATGCGGTACATTGGTCAGATGGTGGGAGCAGCAGGAGCACACTGGCCTCTCTGTGCTGCTGCTGGATGCCCTGCTGCACCCACAGACTGACCTGAAGGCTGCTAAGAGCGCCTTATTGAGACATTTGTGCAGAGACGGCGTGCGTGTAGGTGTAATGCATGTGTATAAACCATGGTATACACACAAAGACACAGACAATTCATGTGCACTGAGGCAAAGAAACCAACAACATGCATCCACCTTCTGCACACAGGTGCCCACATTAACGCCTGTTGATTCGAAACTCAACACATCACTCTGCGGGGAGAGTCATGCATCACTGGTGTTGTTAGAACGCATCTAATGCAATACACAAAGACAAAACATTCAAACATGTGGCAATACACAAATGTAGTGGTAGCTGCATACAGGTGATTGTGTGTATGATGGTGTGTGTACAGGTGTTGTGTGTATGCAGGATGATTAAAGAACAAAAGACGCCAGATACAAAAGAAGAAAATAGAACGGTAAGGTTATAAAATAGAGTAGGGTCACAAAGCCAAGGGCCAAAGCGTACCCGGTGGGATGATGAAACGTGAACTCTTTCTCTGCATTTACGTATGGCTGTGTCTCTTTCCTTCAGCCCCTGTAGACCTGCCGCAGAAAAAAGGAGTTTAACAAAATAAAATATGATTGAACAGTGAAGTCATTTTTGGACATTATAGATTTAAAAGAAGCAATAAGTTAGGGGTTAGAGGTTAGGAGTGGCATGTGCTGGTCGCTCATTTAACAGTGGAAAATTACTCTTGGTGTGTTTGGGTTTTACTTGGATGTTTACATTCTTTTAGTGACCTTTCACCCAGCCCACCTCTGCAAGGATGAACGAACAGGTTTGGCTACGTGAGCCAAAATGAGATGAGATCCAGATACGTACAGGTGAATTCTGTAGCCATTAGAAACTGCACGCAAACATTAAATGAATACACACTTAAAATGTTTGAATTAATACAAAATGTGACTTTATCTAACGTCCTAATGGCGCTATAATTAAATCATTATCACTTTGAAATCTAGTCAAGGTGTCACAGTGAGACAATGGTCGAGCATGTGGCAGGAAGGTGTCGTAGTTAAACCATGTTTTACTTTCTGTTGTTCTTACCTGTGATATTTGCTTTTTCCTGTTACTGGCATTGTTGGTTTCACGGAAATAAATGGTTTAAGGAAATAGCTTTGAATGAATCATCCTAAGGGTTGGGGAATACAATGGTGTGTTTTTTAACGGGGAAATGATTGACTCAGACTGTAATCAGATCAAAAAAGGAGGATTTGTAATGCTACTATGTAAAAACCACTAACAGCTTGATCAGGATTTAAATCAACTGATGTGATCAACTACAAGCAAATGTTGTATGCATTGTTATTGAGGAAAGGGAAGATTTAATTAACAGGAATAACAGCGCTTGATAAGGATATATTTGAGCCCCCCCCAAAAAGGTGCTTGTAAGTTAGAGCTGCAAACGAAATACTTCTCAGCTGACCAAAGTCCAACACTCCCGTTATTACCAAAGCTTTAATGAGTAATAAAGTTAGACTACAGGGTGACGTATTTGAGATAAACTCTAGAGGACTTTAACGTCATGCAGAAGTACACTTTATATTAAAAGAAATGTGGTACACCATGTTGATGCTATAGCTAATTAAACTGTAGCTAGCATAGAGGCTAGTTATTATGATGTGTGTCATTCTGTCATTTTGTGTAAGTCATCGTGACATCATTCTCTATTTTAAAATACGGCCTTGGACAGGTTGATAAGGTGATGGATGAACACTGCAGTTGCATGATCACAGGTATTCAGGTGCGCTCAGGTTGGATGAGATCATTGTAGGATGGTCTGTTTAAGCGCTGATAAGATCACAGTGGAAGATTTGTTTCTCTACAGTCAGAGCACAGAGGAGGAAGACAGAGGCCATGCCATGATCAAGTTCAAATGTTCGCATAGGATTTAATAAGTGATAGGTTTTAAAAGTAGAGAATGTGTGGTTGTTGTAGCAGGAAGGCATGGTGAAAACATTCATATGGAATATTTTCATTCACTAGATGATCGGGATTAAAGTAAGTGAATTTAAATTTTCCGAAATACTTCCACAAAAGTAATACCTGTGACTTTGTTTTTTTTGTAAGTTAAAGAGGCATAAGCAAAGCGGCTCAGTATAGGAACCTTTGGCATGCACATACAATCCATAATCACTTTAAAGACTTAACTCCTAATGTATTAACATGACATACCCATGACTGCTGAATGTACCCTGTTACAAAATTGTTTTTATTTTGTGTGTCTTCTATTGGAAAACACTATCATAACACCCTCCTGTCTAATTGATTTGTCACTCATTTAATGTAAAAAAAGACATTCACAGTCCCATTTGACTCTCTTCCACCACCTTTTGTATGGGGTCTTTTCATCAGTTGTAACCATAGGTTGTAACTTAAGAGTTATATTTCTGCATGCAGGGCCAGGGGGCTTTTTCTTTCTTGTAACTTGGATTTGACCGCGGACTGCAGTTGTGAGTTATTGTCAGATCCTCCTTCTTTTGTCCCGGGCCCAGAGAGGCCTATAGAGCAGATGGATGAGAAGGAGACAAATGGCTGACAGAGGTTATCACTGCCTAATACGAGACCCCTGAGGCCAGCTGGGAAGTGTGTATGGTTATGTGTGTCTGTCTGGTTATCTGACAGGACCACATCTACACTATTGTACAGCACTATAGGACCCTCACTGGGAAATGGCAGTGTCATATGTCATGCAAGTATGTGTGTGCAACCTAATGTATCGGAAGTTCTCTACTTTATTAGAATAATAGACAGAAAACACAATTGTTGTAGCAGCAGCTGAAGTTAATATAAACAACACTCTTTAAAGGTGCCCGGAGTTTTCTTCCACACAAACAAAAGCTATGTTTACATTTAGCATTACCTTACCTTACCTAACAAGGTCTTAGGAAAGGTAAGGTAAGGTTGTTGAGGCCAAACAACCGTGGGAATACAGGGAACGTCTTCTTTTGGAAATCTGCATTCTAGTCTTCTATGGTCTTCATTATTCTACCATTTACAGATATTTACTCATGTTTCTATTTTCACATTAACTTTTTAATATGAATGAATTAACAAGTTTGCTATCTCAATGGACTTTTGACTATAGCAGAACAAGACATCATGCAAAACCATCAGTACACTTATTTCATACTGATGCTAAAGTATTAAAATATTCATGTTAATCAACCAAAAATAAGGCTTATAAGAAAGAAAAGAAAACTTTGAGACTGTAACTGTAATACTTTAATTTAGACTACAGGGCCCTTCATTCGTTGTGTGTGTGTGTGTGTGTGTGTGTGTGTGTGTGTGTGTGGTGTGTGTGTGTGTGTGTGTGTGTGTGTGTGTGTGTGTGTGTGTGTGTGTGTGTGTGTGTGTGTGTGTGTGTGTGTGTGTGTGTGTGTGTGTGTGTGTGTGTGTGGTGTGTGTATGTGTGTGTGTGTGTGTGTGTGTGTGTGTGTGTGTGTGTGTGTGTGTGTGTTGTGTGTGTGTGTGTGTGTGTGTGTGTGTGTGTGTGTAGTGTGTGTGTGTGTGTGTGTGTGTGTGTGTGTGTGTGTGTGTGTGTGTGTGTGTGTGTGTGTGTGTGTGTGTGTGTGTGTGTGTGTGTGTGTGTGTGTGTGTGTGTGTGTGTGTGTGTGTGTGTGTGTGTGTGTGTGTGTGTGTGTGTGTGTGTGTGTGTGTGTGTGTGTGTGTGTGTGTGTGTGTGTGTGTGTGTGTGTGTGTGTACCTCCATAATACACCGTGTCAACAGGTTTGCTGGAGGGCCTTCTCAGGTTTCACAGCCCCTGATGAAAAGGTGTGTGTGAGAGGTTGTCACTGAGACCTGAGCTGGCCATGGCCGCAGTAATGTGGCTGTGATATTGACTAATAAAAGAGGCATTTACAGCTGTCTGACACGGCTGGAAGTAGAGGCTCGATGTTTTCTGATGTGTCCAATCAGGGACGGAACGACCTCCACACCTGGGCTGAGATTTAGTTCTATTTTCAGTCTAAGATGCTTAGATACAAGTTTAAATAATTCATCATTTTGGAAATCAGCGGTTCACATAATTGTAATTTATTTGGAGCTGTAAAGATTATTTAAAGGTCTCATGTCATGGCCATTTCTACTGATCATAATTCCATTGTTGAGGTATACTATAATAGATTTATATTGTGCAATTTCCCAACTCACATTGGTTTCTCATACAGCATCTCTGTATAGTATGTGTATTCCAGTGGCGAACCGTGGCCATCACAACTGGACCTTCTGTAGACACACCCACCCACCCACCCCCCCGCCGCCCCTCCCCCCCCCCTCCGCGGCATTATAATGTCCGTCTTTTCACTGAGTTGTCGTCTTGAAAAGGGTACTCACAACAATTCCGCAACAACTTCATCTCCACCTGTTGCACTTGTCATTTCAACGTTAAAAACAATAAAATGGCATGAATTGCTTCGTCGCCTTCATTCTAGATCCTTTGCCTCGAGCCAGTTAACTAGCGGGCCTTCTAGAATACCCTGGAACCGAGGGGAACTCTGAAAGAATACGCCCATTGGCTACAAATCAATATATGATTGGTTGATCAAACTGTCAGTCCAAACGTACGCTCTCATTCAGTGCAACGGCCAGGGCATTCGATTAAGGATGTAGAATACCTTGGTGAAGGATATTCTACCCAGAGACCCAGAACAAGATCTGATTGGTTGCTTTCTTTTCTACTGAAATGCGTAGTGCATGGTCCGAGAAATCAAATCAACAAATCAACGTATACTGTAATATTACAGATTAAAAACACGGATACGATTCTCATTTATTCATTTTATATACATTTTATTTATATAATTAAATCGATTTTTTGTTTGTTTTATCTGAGTGTTCCAGGGTATTCTCTGAATACCTTGAAGGCCCTGACGGTTCGCCACTGGTGTATTCACTCTCTGTCCTAAACGGCTTGTTGGAGCTCCTGCTCCCCCTCCCTATGAGCCCACTGGCCGTCTGCGAGACAGCGAAACCCAGCCCGAACACACACAGACCTGCAGCCTGGTTGGGAGTTTGTGTGTGTGCTCACACACCGACTCACAGCCTCGCCGCGTCCCGCCGTCTCAGGGAAGAGAAATCGGCGGAGCTGCAGCTGAGAAAAGATTGAGTGTGTGTGTGTGTGTGAGGCTCCGCGGACGTAACGTAACGGCTCCATGGATTGGTCCATTTTGGTAATAACAGGAAAAGTATGACATGGGACCTTTTTAAAGAGTATATTAGTTATAATAGTAATACATGGGGTTTTTATAGCGCTTTTCCTAATTCTCAAAGACGCTTTACATAAAATCAATAATAATATATAATTATAATATATATATAACAATATAAACTATACCTTTTTAGTTATTTAAATATTTTTGAAATATAATACTATTGGGAGAAAAAAAACCGGCAGATTAATCAATAATTAAATAAATAGCCATAAACACATTTCTATTGTATTTCCTCTGCCACAATAAAGCTATTTAACCCCAGTTAGAGGAACAACCTACCAGCTGACCAGAAGCAGACAAAAACCAACAAGTAAACAGTAAAACATGCATTCAGCGAAGGCATACAGTAATGAACTCATTATACAGAGAAACTGAACAACATAGGAAGCAAAACTAGTGAAATAAACAAGCATGTGTTTGCCTTTGCAGAACCTGATAGTCAGGCAGCTCCACATCTGAATAACACACTGCCAGGTTACAAAGTCCAAAGTGTGTTTTCTAGTGAGGTTTAATCTGTGTGATTAGTTTTACAGCCTTAACCCCCCCCCCTTAAACACCACCCTTCCTCTTCTGATCCCCTCCTCGTCCCCTGCTCTGAGGAAACCTGGAA